AACAAGAATAGTTTAAAATTTATATCGTTTAGTACCACTGTTTAATGTTAGAATGATGTTAAATGGTATAAGTTTTCTACAAATTAGAAAAAAAGCTGCACAGCGTAAAGCATACACGAAAGCTTTTTGATTAGTTAAAATATCAAATTTTACAAAGGTCTTAGAGTTACGTGGTTTTTGCAACTTCTTAACCGCGCCAAGCTAAAAGCTTTACTACGTCATTTGCGCGGCGAGAGAATTCAAATGACCTAAGTAACTTCTATTACACAGGACCTAAACGCGATACGATTAACAATTGTATTTCATATAGTTTTCCTTTGTCGTTGATTAATGTACACGAATAGTGTTGTTTCACTAAGAAACATTAGTTAACAACGTTGTAGCAGTCCAAGATTCGCACATCAAATATCACACTTTCTTCCAAATAACGCATCAATTTTATTTATATTGCGCAAGTATAACATGTAAAATATTATATATACAGGAAACTATTTATTGAATATAAGTTATTCAAAAGAAAATGTGATACGTAAATTTTACGAGTGTATTTTATGATTGTAAGCATCTCTCAGGTTGCGTTCCGCAGAATCGCGATATAATTACAATACATGTTATCATTTGCATCGTATCATACGCACAGAACACGTATAGGTATGCGGTATAATTTGCAACGATATGTTCGAAATGTTCGTGTCACATCTCTGTCGCTACCAAACTTTGGGTAACCGTAATATTAAAATAAAGCTATCTTACAATTATTTACATGGGTGCGGTGGTTCAGCGACGTAATAAAGACGAGTTTTCTTTACATCTTTATGCATTTTCAATGACGTTTTGATTGACTCTTTGATTACCGAGCTCGTTTAGTTTCCATTAGTTTATTGCATTCAAAAATGATTGCTTTCAATTCAAATCCGCTAAATAAATTTCAAGAAATTTTCATCATTTCTCTCCTACGAACATTCATATGAGTGTAGACATCGATTGAACAACTTCTTTTATACATGGTCAAACGAATTTCTTCCTATCAATTACATTATGTATTTATAGAATTTTCATTTATCAACGCATTCATTGTTTCCTTCGAAAGATTATCACGATGAATCACATTGTAACACTTTCTTGGAATTCAAGAAAATTTCAGTTTAATTACACAGTGGACAATCGTTGGATTGTCAAGAAGCAATTATATATCGTGTTGACGAATCTGTGTTCACCTTTATAGGATGTAGGATTCGAAACCGTGCATTTTAAATAGTTCCATTGAAATTTTTCACTATCAAGCTAAAATTTAAATCCGAATAACAAGATTTTCGAATTTCGATTTTACCCTCGTTTAGAAACTTATACTTAAATATTTCTCTCGTCGTGTTTCAACGAACGTTGTAAAAACGGGTAATTATTTTACCTAGGAAATTGGTACACGGCAACACGAATATTTTTCTTATAAAATTTCAGCCGATCGGCCTACATACTATAATTAAATTTCAACCAAAGTATTGTTTACGACAATGGAATATTTTCCTTCGTTAAAGTTTGAAATACTTTAAATGGTGTTTTTTTTTTCTTTTTAGAAATCTATACAGTTTTTACGATAATATATAGGATTTCTTTTTATGGTTTCAAATCCTCTGGAGAATAAAGACATTTACCGAGAGCGAAGGTTTACAAAAATATTATCCTGCTTTTTTACATTCGATGAGTATACACATCTTTGGATACTCGAAATTTAAAGTTTCTAGAGAATTACATAAAAATAAAGACTCCTATTATATATTCGTCGAATAAATATCTACATGGCAACCATGCGTCTCTCTCTCTCTCTTTCTCTCCCTCACCTTCGCAAATGTTCTATCTCTCAAAACAGTCTTATTGCATTTAAACGAACTCTAGGAAAGTTCGTCTCAAAGGATAAACCGTAATTGGACATTTCATTATCCCGTCTACGTTTAATAATATTATTTTCGGAAATATACAATAATTATAGCTTTACATATTAAATGGAGTGTGTTACAGCGAATGCAGTTGCAATCGATAACGACTGATCGCGTGCTAATCACGTGAATTTGCCTTGTTTCATTTGCAAAACGTAGTTTACACAGAGTTACATTACAATCAATTAAACCACCACAGCGCGTCTAAGGCTTCGATTTTTCGTACATTATGTATGTATTTACAATTCTATTCACAGTGAAATTTATACATTGCAACTTGATCGACGCGTCGACTGTGTTTATATTTATAAAGAGTTAAACGCGTAAATTCTCTCTTAATAGTAAGCTAAGAAAATTCATATTTGAAATGAAGTTCGAGGAATTGTCCTTCGTTTGTAGAAATTACCTTTGATAATGAAAAAAGAAAAACAACGCGCTCCCGTGATGGACGCGAAAGTTTCTTCTTCTTCTCCTTTATATATATACTTTTTTTTTATTAATTAGGCCCTTCAATTATACACCTGACTAGCGCCGTCACGTTACGTTCTCTCGTTTGCTTCGTCTCATCACTGTGATGCCTATGGAACCTCTTATTTTACGTAATAGATCTATTATGTCAGCTGTTGACATGTGTTCCACGCTCTCGTCGTTCACCTGAAATAGAAGAGAAACTAATGAATAATACACGCATAATAATACGTAATAGGTTTCAGGTAAGAGTGATGTACGTTTATTGGACATAATGTCACTATCGTGAATTCTTCGTTATTACTGTTATTATCGTTATCTGAGCATTATTTTGTATCTCGTTAAAATCTCAACAAGATACAAAATAATCTTAAGAGTTTTTTTCTTCAGAATCTTTTTATCACTTGGACATTTCACGAAAATTATGAAAAATTCGACAATAATTTGACAGTATTTACAAATGAAATTTATACAGATATGCAGAAGTATTCATGATTTCGTTGCACAGTTATGTTTAAAATTAAAAATAAGTAGTAAGATATACAACGGAACATTAATTAGAAATGATATCAACCATCATAAGCACATCTCCTTGTTTCAACCTCCCATCTTTCGCTGCAACGCTGTCTGGGTGCACCACTGATATAACTGTACGCTTTCCTTCCGGTTGTAAGCTAAATCCTAGTCGACTATTCCAACCACGTGTCAGCTCTACCATGAACACCTGTAATAAAAACAGTTAGCATTGCAAAGGAGGATTGTATCAAATATTTACATTATATTACATATTTCACTTTATCTTTAAGATCCAAATTTTCCTCTTATTGAAACAGTATTTTTCACTGACAACAAGTAGATTCAGAGAAATATTTCGTGCGACGCAAAGTAATCAAATTCATCTTTTCACTGGTATTTAAACTTTTGGTAAGCTGTCGCTAATAACCTTATGCAGTTGATGAGACATTAAACTTATATAAAAAAGAACTTAAGTTATTTAAACTTGAAAAGATTATTTAATTTAATTTAAATTAAATAATCCTACAATTTCTTTATTAACTTTTCATTAATTTCAATTTACAAAATACAGGAGTATTGTAAGAAATACAGAAACACCGAGAAGATCTGTGATATTATTTCAGATAACCGTAATTACTTGCTCCAATTCTCAAATAGAATAATTCAAGAAGCAAACCTTATACCTAACGACGGTCGCATTTATTTAACGGTTCTTCTACATAACAATGCAATGTTCATTTGCGGCTGAACAGAGGGGCTCGATATTAACAACGCTTCGTTACGGATTCACCGAACGAAGAAAAACCCCGTACCTCGGTTCCTTGTTCAAGATCTTTATTGAGGACAGCTGAATCGGTGGTGTCTCTCCCGGCCTTCTCCTCTTCGTTTTCAGTTTTATCTATTCCATCATCTGGGGCGAACATCACGCCTTTCCACTTCAACAAGCCCTTGCTGCCACCGGGATCCTCCGCGCCCAAGATCTTCCCTGCGCCCCGCACATAAAATTAAATCACAATGTATGAAATAAATTCTGCACCAGCCGGTGGAACGGTTCATTTTCATTCTAACCAGCGCACAGCTGCTTAAGCAGTTACTTAATTCAGTTACATTCAAAGCAGTTGACAATTGTTTCCTTTTTCTTCTTTGCTTTTCCGAATCGACCGAGGTATCTGATTTTTATCGTTCAAACTTTTCACGATTTGAGAAAGCAAATAAGATTTCAACCGTAAGGAGTAAATCGTGATAACCAAACTGGTACATATGTATATAATAAAAATAATCCTACTGTTGCGATTGTCAATGATCCACAGAATTCTCGATTGCCCAAAATGCAGTGAAGAAAGGAGAAAATATAATATTAACAACAATATAAATGATACTGTTAAAGCACAGAAAAATATAATCACTTTCTGCACAGAAATTAAAGTAGAAAATAGAATACAAAGAAGAAACACCACTGAATATAGTTATGGTCGTTAATGACCTTAGCAATCAACTCTAAATAATAAATAAATATTAAAATTATATTTCAAAGAATACCTTAGCAACTAATAATAATTAATAATAATAGAAAATATACTATGGTTCAGTAGACTGACGTGTATAAACTTGGTCGACAGCAGGAGTATTCTCCCTGACAATTCCACGTTAAAACTTCTTCTTACAGTTACCGATCATTTGTATATAATATGAAAGATTAGATAATACGATATCGATCAGTATGATACATTTCGATATGGGAATTTAAAACAATTATTAAGTGGACTGGTTGCGTGCAAGTACCATAACTGACTGTTCGACGTAAAATCAAGGTGACTTGATATAGTGGTAACAAGATATAACACGTTCGTATGTTACTAAACGATAAGATAATAAAGTGCTCGTTTCAAATTGATATTTTTAGTTCTAAGCTGTGTGGATTTGCTTTATGTTACTATTTCATTGCGTTAACGCTATTTCCGGTAGGTTCTTATCAGTTGAGTTTTTTTATTGAGGAAGTTAAACGTTCAAATAATTGAATGCTTAAGTATACGTGCAATTAGATGAATTTAAATTAATGTGAAATAGTATGAAAATTTTATCGTTGGTTTCTTGTCGTTAAAAAGTTATACATTAAGAGTGTATGACAATGTAATTTGTCACAAAACATTATTCTAAATTATTCCTATTGTAAAATTCATTACTGATTTTAGTAGAAATTTTTAATGATTTTTTCAATATTTTTTAAGTAATTTTTTTCCGTTACACATTGTAAATGTTAATAATTAATTTCTTCCCTTGATATAAAAGAAACTACAAAATACATATTTTATTATATTTTTAAGTTGAATTAAAACTATTTTTTATCTGACGATAACAATAAATTGAAATTGCTGATAATGATAAGTATAACTAAAAAAAAAAAATTGCATTAAACTCCGACGACTACTTAAAATGTTACGTGAATTTCAGTGGTGTTAAAGTGTACTCCACGAAATCGTTAAAAAGAGCCCGCGGCACGTCGGCTAAGATGTGCAAAAGTCCCGTATATAAAGTGTTAAGAGGTAATAATGATAACGTTCAAGACGATAATGATAACATGAAAAAGATAAGAAAGGAAAAAAATAGTATTAAATAATAATATTATCGATAAAGGTTCTGAACGATAAAACGAAGATACAACATAATAATAAGAATAACGTATTTTTGAAAATCATCTAGTTTGTCTTTGATCATTCTTCCATTGGAGAAATGTGACACTGATCCTTCTTCCCTAAACCTATATAGTATCCTTCAGCCCTTAGTTTTTCCAAACGTTGCCCATTTTCTCTTCTTATTATACTATAGTTTGACAGCTTCTCCTAAGTCCTAACACACAATGCTAAAATTTCAATTTGGAATGGACTGTAATCATTTTCTCCTTAGATCCTTCAAACATCCTAATATCTCACTTTCTATGAGAAATGGACTGCAACCGTTTTTCCTCTAGACTGTTCAAACATCCTAAAATCTCACTTTCTACGTGAACTGGACTGTAATCATTTTCTCCTTAGACTCTTCAAACATCCTAACATCTCACTTTCTACGAGAAGTGGACTAAAATCCTATTCCCCCTAGACTCTTCAGATACCGTTGAAAGCTAATAAAAATTGCGTTTGGTGAAATAGCGAAATAAAGAAATATACATACACATACCAGGTATGTCTTGGTCGCTCGAATGGGTAGCCTTGTTTTTCGCCGTGGAGTCTATGCCAGCGCCGCAGGCTGGATTGGCACTCTGATAAGCGGGGTTCTTGTAGCTGAACGCAGCGGTGCTCGAGCTGCACGTCGAGGAGAGTACCGGTGGCATCGAGGCCGGCTCCGAGGGTAGATCGTTGTCGTGCTCATCACTGGATAACATGTTCGCCTCCCTTCTCCCGTAATCGGTCTCAGTTGCCTTGTTCCGGTGCTCGTCTTCACCGACGATCATGTCCTCACAGGCTGGATACTCGAGATCCGAGTCCAGGCTGCAAAACTGAAAATGAGGCTTCCCCTGGGGCGCCGATAAATCGAGGAAACTCGGCCGTGTCGGTGTCTTCGAGGAATCGCTCGAGTCGCAAACGTCGTACAGAGGCGGCGGATCGATTATGTCCGTTCCAGGTGTGTTTGGTTGAGAATTCGTTATCTGCGTCCTGATCGAGCACTGGTCGGAATCGGATGTCTCCGCCTGGCTGGCTGTTGATGTCGTCTGCACGCTCGGATGCTTCTCCAGAGTTTCTGCAACGATGGATATCACCTATAGACCGTGCTTGCTTTTTCAGTTATTCGATCGACCGACGTTTTTATGTTGATCAGCACTTTGACAATATCGGCGCACAGAGGGTGTACGAATCTTGTTTGTCCGTCGATCGAAGGGAGAGACGTAAACTTTTTTCATGCGACCCGTCCCTCCTCGGAAAGGGAAAGCTCGCTGCTCAACGATTGGAATATTTTATGTCTAGTTGGTTCTGGGGAAAATTTTCATCCTCCAGTCGCGCAGTAACCAACTTTTGATCCATCGGTTCGACCATTTTTTTTTTATCTTTGATAGATCGGCGTTCGTAATGGTGAAATTGCTCAACTGTAAAAATTTCATTTTTCTAGAGAGAATGTAAAATCATTTTGTCAATTAATATGCAATCATATTTGCGTTGAGTTTACTCGCGAAGTATGCTATTTATATTTATTTCTTTTAGGCGGGTAAAAGTGGTTTTCTTCTCTCCTGAAAAATTAAGTTTCTGCAGTTCCCCGATTTTACTATTGGAACGACGATGTGTACGTGTTAACGTTTTTACTATTGGCAGAATTGACGAAGTTTTCTGTAGACCTTTTTTCATCTCTGCAATTTCAAATTTTGTTACAGTTTATTATTTATAACAAAATTCGAAAGATAAATAGTATTCAATATTAATTTAACTTCTATTCGTATATGAACAAGTACTATACAAATTCATCGAGTGGTTTGACATTTAAGAAAAGTGCATGGGATAATTTTGAAAAAATGAATCGATCCCGGGAAAGCAAAAGTTTTCAAAGGTCAAGCATCGTTCGAGGCTCGAACTTTTGCTTTCGACATTGATGAACACTTTGCGTAAGTAGCAGCCATTTTTAGACATCATTTCTATCTAGAATTTGTCAATAATCTTACCAAGTTAATTAATCAAATTGCAATGAAATGTAATTTCTGTTGACTCGATTAATCTTCTTGGACAGACGAAACACGAACTGAATGATTCCATTATTAAATTCTCCTTCTCTCTGCTTCTATTTACACAGATTTGATGTTAAGTAAGAAAGTGATACCTTGATCATTATCGGCGGTAGGCGTACGTGTGGCAAGACGACGAAGTCTTCTTGGCGAGTTGCAAGATGCTCCGGGTGATTGCTTGCAACTCGAGCCGCTTGATGTACCTGGGGATAACTTTCGAACTGCTAGATCACACAGCATGTCTACAGCTTCTTGTCTGCAAGAATATTCTCTCTTATAGTTTAGCAACTCTAAGCGACAGCTGTGATTTATCACGTGAAACGAGAAAAATTTTGATAACGACTTAACTGCGGATGTTTGTGCAATTAGAATCTCAAGAGATTCTAACGTTGCTTTTACAGCAATCTCGTTAGAAAATGAAGTTAAACAACGTTAACCTGAATAGAAAATTTAAGGTGAACTCTGATCACGTTTCACTTTGAAACACAATTAAAAAATTAACTTAGTAATCCTCTTAGTGTACTTATTCACATTAAGAGTGAAGAAGCGAAAGTAAGCGGTAAAGATCTGTAGATCCATCGATCAAAGATTCGAAATTTTGACAAGTCTAAAAGAATACGATAAAACAGTTGATCAAACGTGTAATTGAAAGTAACACAGAAAACCTGTTATAGATTCCACGCGCCATTGATTCACCGTGAATAGAGGGAGAGCGCTTTATCAAAAAGTTCTCCAATTTCCCCTCCGATATACTTTCATTTTCATCCCGCCAAGGGGTTAGGTCTTGAACTTCTAATAAACGGTACTTTGCGTCGTAAACACTTGGCGAGCACGTGAAGACAAAAGCAAAATATATCGCCGCGGCGGAAACAAAAGATATTACCGCGTTAAATCAGCTAGAGGAGTTTGAAAGTTTCAATTAAAACGCGCGAGAGAGAGAGGAGAGACATGGAGAGATAGAAAGAGTTAGAGGAGAGACACGGAGAGACAGAAAGAGACTTCAATTTCCCTTATTGAAACGCGGAAGAGAGAAGAGGGAGAGAGAGAAAATGAGAGAGGAGAGACATGGAGAGATAGAAAAAGAGAGGAGAGACATGGAGAGATAGAAAAAGAGAGGAGAGACATGGAGAGATAGAAAGAGTTAGAGGAGAGACACGGAGAGACAGAAAGAGACTTCAATTTCCCTTATTGAAACGCGGAAGAGAGAAGAGGTGGTGAGCTTAATTACAGGTGAAAAAAGTTTACCTCAAACTGGTGCGCGGTGGACGAAGTGGATGATCGGGCTCGGTTGGAGAAAGCGCGGAGACAGGAGTTTGCGCGAGATCCCTGTACAATCGAAGTCTCACAGTGGGGCCACATTGTCGCAGCAATTGGACAGCCTCTTCGTGGCTCATTGGTGACAATGGTGCACCATCCACAGCGACTATTTTATCCCCAGGTCGAATTCGGCCGTCGCTTAACGCCGGCTCCCTCACTAATGCTCTCACGTAATGACCCAGCGCGCTGCTGTCCACTTTCCTCAGAGTGAAACCCAGGCTACCACCGACCTTCGTCATTTCTATGTCGAATTCCTGCCAGAGGTTGCGAAAGAATTTAGTTCGTTTAATCCGTCACGCATCCGTTAGATGTTAATGCCACTTTTCGTGAAATGGAAATCGTGTCTATGGAAATTAGGTACACTGGCTGGTTTTTATTGTTTTTTCACGCAAGTTGGAACGGTTTTTTGTCAGGGATCACTGTAACGAAGGATTGTGTAATGTTGTAATCGTGTTTCAAGATAGATGTGTGAGATTCGTGTAAAGTATTGTACGTAAAATTCGCAGGATTAAGGTGTATAATTTTAACAAAGAGAAAAGTAGTGTACGAATCATGGTGAAGAATTCGTGATTGAAATTAGTATCTTGATAGCGAGTAGACGTCTTGTGAACGTCTTAAAGGCGTCGAGTAAAAGTGTAAAGATGTCTAAAAGACGTCTGAACGACGTCTAGTGTTACAAATCAAGATGTCTTTAAAATGTGACGCTGTAAAGTACTATGCACTGGCTTTAGAAATGTCTTAAGAACGTCTTTAAGACGTCATTTTTATACGTTACTGCAATGTATCCAAATGTGAACGGTCGTAAAATGGACATCTCTATGATGTCGCGTACTATCCGGCACAGACTGCTTAAGAAAAATGTTAACATTTGTATGAAGAATTTATTAAAACATTTCAACTGTGACTCATCCTCGAGATTTGTTGACGATTGAGTTTGATTGATTGAGATTGATGATTTAATATATTAACGCTAACATTTGTTTCAAGTAGTTTGTATTATGAGAAACAAAGGAAAAATTGTTTTATTTGTCACTTTTCAAACTGCTAAAAAATTTCGAATAGATATGGAACAAGTTAAGTTGTAATTAAAATTTTTTATAGCATTTTTTGGACGAGATACAAAAAAGAACGTGTTTATTATAATAGAGTCGGAATAAATTGCTTCGCATCCTTATTTTTGTATGCATTTCATAACCGATAATGCCCTGTATGATGCATGTACAAACATGAGGGATTTGTTACAAATGCATCAGAAACCGTGTATGCTCTAGGAAACACCGAAATCTAAATTGTAAACGAAATTCGATCGGACTATGCATTTCTCTCGGGATTCCCTAGATGTTACGGATAGTATATTCATTGATCATCGTTTTATGAATACCGGTTATACTGCACAGTGTTCGATAGGAATAAGTAGTAATTGGAAAGAAATTTTTTTCGACTGACGGAAAATTACTACTTACGTTTTCTTGCTAATAATACTTCTGCAATAGCTATACAACGAAAATTTACAAAGAAAATTTTTTTTATTGATATAGGTAATACTTTTTACTAAATTTCCAAGATTTACATGGATGACACAATAAATTCTTTAATTATTGCTGAAAACATTTTTGTACAGAACAATTTCAGAATTAATCGATAAATATTAGGGAAACAGTCCATTTCTAACAGAATTCATTTATTTTAAGTATTTAACAAACTAGATAGCACAAAATATTAAAAGAAAAGAATAAAAATTAGAATTTCATAATACTATAAACTGTATCTTTAAATAATGTCTAATATAATTTCTGTTACAAAGTATTTAAATACACATGAAACCACTTTTCAATTTATTATTTCTAATAATTTTCTAAGCAACCAAATAACGACCCAAAAGAGAAGTACACCCAAACACTAACGAATCCCTCAAATTAATAGCAAATTACACCAGATCGTACTATAAATCTTGTTAGTGCTAATAACGGTAGTATGTTGTCAGTGGTAACACTGTCCTATCTTAATTTCGATCTTTCGATTAATAGCCGAAGGGGCGGAAAACGGAGGATTTCGGTGATTCAGTGATCCAGGAAATTCGGCTATCTAGCGGATCGCAACAAGGAACGATTTCTGATAAGAGTTACTCACGCCGCAGGGTTCAATTTGAAGTGGCGGCAGAGGGTTGAGTATTCGTAAGGGTGGCGGTGGCTCACGCCTCGCAGGGGGCGGCGGCGGTGCACCCGGTGGTGTGACATTCGTATCACCCGGAAGTCGACACACCACCAGCTCCACGGTACTAGGTGTCGTTCGTAGAACTTCGAGGGCCTCCTGCAACAAGTTGCATCGAAATGCTATTAAAAATATGATCGAATTGGCTAATGATAAAAGAAACAAGAACAAGTTCATATTTAAGCGATTAATATCAATTTGAAAACGTAGCAACAGTAGCAACGTAGGAACATCTTTCGATGTTAAAAATGGTTAATGCTGGAGAAAAATTATGTCACCCTTCAAATTCTTCGGTTTCTAACGCAGACAAAAGAATGTAATTCTTTGAATTTTTATGGAATATAACAATAGTAATAATCGTCATTTTAGTACATTGCATAAGTGTACAATATTTGAATTAAGTTTCTTCAACTTGAAACTGGAGAAATAATTTTGGAGAAATAAGGGAACTAATTCTAATTTACAAATTAACGTCTTTCGACAAAGATATTATACTGCCATTTTGAAATTTCTAACGCTTTTAAACAATGTAAATACCGAAGTTGGTGTACGTATAAACATTGGAGGTTGCGAGAAAATATGAATAATACAAAAGGATTAAACGCAAAGGAAACTTTGAAAATGACGTTTTAAAGTAGTTTCATAAATCTCCATACATTTACCGACACCGCGTCGCAAATTTATATATCCCCCTTTTCTCATCCGCGCCTCGAAATTGTTTACATAATTCAATTTGTAATAGAGTTATCGAACTTATGTATAAAATTTTCAAATTAATGCGCGATCTCATACGAGATGGTACGAGGTGTAGCGTATAATACAAACTGGTATTACACTTTGATTCTCGAGGGACAAACGGGCAACTGTACGCAAGATAGCGTCTACCTTTGCTACGAGTTCCGGATGTAGCTGCATTATGCTAATCGAATGCAAATCTCTAAAAGCTACGAGAAGACAAGCCCGTAGTTCCCATCTAAAGCTATAGTAATCGCTATTTTGTCGCAGCTAGCTCATCGCGTTAAGCTGGATGGACCAAGATGAAAGAAAACGTTTTGCGGCCTGCGGACAAAAGTTACACTCGCCCAGAGTGAATGGAAACGAATTCTCAGATGTTATTACGAAGCAGAAATTTTTAGGTTGAAATAACCGATCTTATCTATTGATTAATGTGCCACCGGAAATTTGAAATAAAGTTACGTAAATGTTTGCCTTTAATTATACGGTATATTACTATAACTGTAACTGTAACGGTGAAATAGAAAGTATTCTACGATTTTTCGTTATCTTTCTGACACTAGGATGAATTTTCCTAAATTAAATTAAAGGAAATTCTGAAATTTTTAAATTAAGCTCTACTTTTATTATTTCGTTGACACTGAGCTCTAATTTTTTAAGTTAATATCTCTTATTCCACTTTTTAATATCTCTGACACTAAGTTTAAATTTTCTAAATTAATCTAAGAAACTTGGAACATTTTTAAAGTAAACCCAATTTTCATTATCTCTTTAACTCTAAATTATTGCAAATTAATCTGAAACAGTGTTAACATTTTTGAAGAACCAGTAGCACATATTTTGTACTTACATAGTTGGTGAGACCTGTTAGAGGAATTCCATTGGCAGCTAGGAGTATATCGCCAGGTTGAAGTTTGTTGGACAACGCCGCAGGTTGCTGGGGAAATAGTCTTTTTACCCTAACTGGCCCGGCGGTTCCTCCACCGGAAACGCTTAAGCCAAGTCCCTGGCTGCTTTTCTGCAACGTCACACGGAACGTGCTCTCTGGAAATCATACAAAGTGCGTTTAATTTCACGGGAGCTTCTTGGAAAGTCAACTTTTTCTTCTTTCTAACTTCTAGAGAGGGGAAATTACTACAAATTACTCAGGGGATAACGATGTCGTAATTGTCGTCCTTCACAGAAATGCACATTTAGAATATCAAAGTTAACAAGCAATTTCAAGCAACTTGTATCTTCAATTAACGAATTGTTTATTTTTAGAAAAATATTTTTTCATTTCATTCTATTTAAAGCGTAAAGGAAAGATAAATAAGGTAAATAGAAATGTCTTAAATTAATGTACTACGTAGAATTTAATAAGGCTCTCTTAAATCCTCCATTTTCAGACACTTCGTTAAAAATACTCACACTTTTTATATTTATAATAAATATTACGTAGATAACTTGGAATATATCTTATTACCATTGTAACAATGTTTTACAAATAATTCTAATACCATAAAATACTGGATATCATTTCATTTCATACCACATCATTTTTGAGAAAACAAACTTAATTTCTCCTTCAACTTGTCACCATTTTTACATTTTGTGAAATTTAGAAAAACACCTTCGTTAACAGAAAACTGCTCTCGCGTTTAATAAGCAAAAATTTCATTTTTTATTTCAGATACAATCTCTAATCTCTAGAACGTCCATCACTGAGTCGTACGATGTTAAGAGGAGCTACGCAAAACCGCCCATAACTTTCAAGAAAATAATTTCTTTCAAGTCAAACTTTTTCCACGGCTTTGTCAACGTGCTCCGTAAATACGGTTAAAAAATAGAAAAATTCCATCGAACAGCAACGTCACAGAAAAATCTTAAACATGGTCACGTTTTTTCAACGTTCGAACAGATATAACCCCCTTAATCAATTCGATCGAACGTTCCCCGCTTCGCTCAACTTCGTTCAGTTTATTTTCAAAAAACAGAGAAAAAAGCTTGGAAAAGCTCGTTTATACTACAAAGACAGAGCACGCGTCGTTTCGTAAATATTTATGTATATCACTGAGAAGGAAGCAACGTGCTTTCGTTCTTTTTTCTTTCTTTTTTCTCTCTCCCGGCGCGTGTATTTTCCAAAATTGTAGCCGGCTTGTAATTTACGACGCCTCGCCGCTCTGACGCATGACCTAATATTTGGAATTGGGCTAGGACGCGAACAATTACTTTCTACCCCTCTGTTCTATGCAGTGTCACTGCACCAGCTGCATATTTCAGTTGTTACAGCAACTTTCACGGGGCGCAGCGTCATCCTGTTGGTCATAATTTCGCGTGGTTTCGCGGCGGAAAAGTGTGCGAGTCTGAAATACGTGCAAACATCCTGTGAACGGCGAGAAATTTCATCTCGGTCCGGAAAGTTCGCGCGATTTTCGATTTGAATTTTTCAGTGATTGATTATCGGGATACGCGAATAATTTCGAGCGTTTCTTGAATAGAAATTTGATTGGGTTAGTGGGAAATACCTCGTGGAACGTTAATTGATGGTTTAGTTAGTTTTATAAATTTTCAAAAAGTTCTTAAAAATTGATTATTGGAATACGTGAATAATTTCAAGTGTTTTTTAAATAGAAATTTTATTGGGTTACTGGAATTAATTGATGATTCAGTTGGTTTTATAATAGGTAAGTTTGTAACTTCTAAAGAATGATTAGTAACTTTTGAGATTTTGAAGAATATTAGAATGAACGAAAGGTGAAGTTTTTCAAGACATCGATATGCTAACATTTTCGGAAATAGCTGCTCTCTGAATTTGCATAAACCTGTCTCTGCGAAATATCTAGAAAATGTTCAACAAGTACTGTTTATTTACCAAATTCCGAGTATTTTTATCCTATTCGTGATTTCTATTTCGAAATTCCAAATAAATATTTTTATCGGATTTTTGTTCTTTTTCGATTTATACTAAACAATATACGTTTATTTTATGATAAGCATTTGTTCCTTTACATTTAAACTGTTTTCTTTCTTAAATGGTGGTACATTCGATCTCGATCATTTTATTAATTATATTTATCAGTTTATACAATAATTCAAAGTTCAATTCAAAATTGATCAAAAATGGTCTACTACTTACTTCCCAAATATTGTTTACAAAACTCCCTAATAAATTGTTCATCGTTTCACACTCTCGTTCATAGTTCGAATAAGTTATTCTATCCAAACAAAGAAAAGAACTTGTCGCCATAAATGCCTATCAAACTCCGCGAAAAACAGATTAACGCGATCGTAAAAACTGACCGCAGCTTTCGCTGCAGTCGCTATTCGAATTCTTTTTTTCACTTTTTTTTTTTTTTTGTCACGGGGTAGTGGACTTAGCATGAGTCGAGCACTAGTTTGAAATAACTCGCCTTTTACCGGATATTGACCCGATCCGGACGACATATCGCGCGTATTGTTCACTTTGTTCTCCATTCAGATCAGTCCCTCTCGATGGGTAATTTACGTTTGTCACGTTATTGTCCGGGCTCGTGCAGTGTCAATCTTCCCAAAAGAGCCAGCCATTGTTGAAATCGTTTGGAAATCGTGGATATCCTGAATGGGGTTCACTGATCGTCCTCTAAACGTTCCAGCAAGTTTAAGAATCGATATCCGCGCGATTTACGGCCACCATCTGTCATTATCGGCGGTTAACCGAGTTCAGGGTGAACGAAAATTTGAGTGAATGGCGGCGTTCGGGACCATTTGATCGCGTTCGTTCAAGAAGGTGAAATTAGGACGTCGGAGATTTTTTTAAGCTTGCTACGTTTCAAGTAAAGCTGATAACACGGATGATGACGATTAAATTTTATTGAGATTTTTCATTTTTGGGGCGCTGTGTAAGAGGTAAGTTGAATTTTAACTTAATAATGTTACTAAGACTTGATAAAGTTGGTTAATTTTGTTACTAAATAACAGTAATTTAAATTATTATTAAAATTAAAATTTTAAGAAATAACAGTGAGTCTTAATTTTTGAGTGGCTATATAAGAGATATATTAAATTTCTGAGGGGTAGAAATTATTTGAAGGCGTTTAATATTATACTTTGGAGAAAGTGATCTGTCTGTGACGGAAGGCGCAGGAAGACTGTTGAAATATCACCGACAAAGTTGTTACGAGCTTTGTAACTCATGGTAGGCACATCAAAGGTGTGCCGACCCTCACTACACACCCTTGCAAATTTTAAATCAATAATATTACTAATACCAAATTGTATTTATTATTCATTACAAACTGCAATCGCGATTTACTTTTTAAGTATCTTTCAAACGCATTTGTTTTGAAAAGATACATTGCGAACGAATATGCCGTCAAAAAATATGCAAAAAGCTTTTTAAATAGCACCAGATGAATATGAATTTCTGGTGTTATTTGCAAGTGAAACTGTTGCAACAGAGATTTTTGGTACACTTGAAAAAATTTATATACCGAATCACCGGAGAAATGAAACTATCATTTGCCTCGAGTGATGAAAACAATGTGCCATTTAGAAGCGATCAAAATTTAGTAAGAGATTAAAAATGGGAAAATATAATTTTATGTTTAAAATACGGTGAATTTGTAGAAAGCAGGAAATAATCTACCTTATATGTATACCCTTTTAAGCTAGTTCGAAAGCATTGTAAAATCAGAGAAAATTGTATGCAACGGATGTTAAATTGTTATCTGAAAATCTAACAGAATTGCAGAAAATTTATTCGAGCAGGAAATCCGGAAACGTGAAGGACCTGCACACAACGTCAAACTGCGTTTTATTCTGTTCAACTATCTCAATTTAATACCACGGATTTTCCTAGTTTCAGAATTTCAAACCGAAATGTTCGTTTTATTGCCGGTTAGATTGTTTGGAAGTAATGGAGTGAATGGTTTTGTCGGCATTTGATAAACGCCTCGTAAAAGTTAAGTGTGGAATTACGCAGTGTGCAGTGTTACTGCTGCTAATATCGCTGCTAATGTATCTGCATGTTTAAATATGCGCTTACTTCCAAGATGAAGTAGCACGTGTTCTACAACTATGCTAATTTATTGAACATTACGAAACAACGCATTGCACCGAATGAAACCGGTGTAGAATTGATTATACTTTCTACTGACAAAATTAGAATGCATTTTTTGAAGAGTAAAATCTGTAAGTAAAAGAGAAGATAGTATTTTGAATATTATTTTGCACATATTTTTCATAGAATTTTTGTTTAGTAGAATATGGTAATATATTTTATTTTTTCTAATAATTTAAATACCTACTATTAAAAAACTTTTGTAAATTTTAAAGCGTTTCTTCTTTTCGAAAAATTGTCCAAAGCATTTCCTAATAAGTATAGCAAAATTAATTGAAAATTAATGGAAATTTGATAAACCATACCATTTTTTATTGCTATTTTTCTTTAATTTTAGTAGAAGTTAAAATTGATTATTTTGTTAATTTTATATTTTTAATTTTGAATATTTGAAATATCGTGTATTGGCACACTTGTCATTTTTTTGGATTTTATTAAATTATTACGTTCCACTATTTAAGCTTAGAAGTATGCAGAGACAATCATCTCACGTTTTGAGAAATTTGTCGTAGAATGAAAAACTTCGAATGCTCGCCCATGCTTAAAGGAACACTGTGTAATATTAATGGAATGGAAACGAATGAAGAAGAGACGTATGAATCGAGGCCAAGAAGATTAATGTCCTTTTTCTCTCCACTTTTGAATTTATTATTCTCGGTAAACTTGACTTAATTATTCTTAATGAATTTCCTGTTGAAGAATTCCTCGAACTTTGTTCGCGAGAATTTTCAATACAGGAGGTGTGAATACTTTTACTCTTATTTTTATTCAAACGTTTTATCGCGGCATATACAGTAGAATATCAAGCAATTTGTGCTATTGTTAAACAACTTTTGTCTATATAAATTGCTACAATTGTGAAATCGTACGAGTGAAAAATTGAGGCCATTGTATATTTTTCAAATCGAATAGAAACTAAAATGGATACAAATATTTAATAAAAAAAAAAAATTAAAAACTAATA